GGAGGACATGTGGTTTCTCGAAGCCTGACTCTCGCCTTGACACCGAACACCTTCGTCTCAAAAGTCCGCAGCACCTTCGCGGAGGGAACACACACACACACACACATCGCTTTCAGAATGTAGCCCTCGCCTTAGCGCCGCGCACACTCGTCTAACACGTTACACTGGGACTCTCGCCTTAGCGCCGCGCGCATTCGTCAAAAAACTTGCGACACCTTCACGGATGGAGCACAAGTCGTTTTCGAAATCTGGCTCTCGCAAAATCGCCGCACCCATCAGTCATATAAACAAAACTTGCAGCTGCTACATGGATGGTGGTACCAAGTCACAATGTGACTCTCGCATTAGTGCCGCGAACAGTCGTCCAACACTTTTGCAACAATTCCGAGGGTTGGACACTGGACGATTCAAACATGTGTCTCTCGCTTCAGCGCCGCGCACATTCATCTTAAAAGTGTGCACCAATTTCAATGTGGGTCCCGCCGCAACGCCGCGAACCTGAGTCTTCAAGTTGTAAAATGTTCCCATGGATGGAAATAGGTGCAGTGGTTTTCAAAGATGGTGGTGTCGCTTTGCGAGCATTCGTGTGTAAAGTCCGCGCTAGCATGACAGATAGAGATGAAGGGCGGTTCCTCTTCACAGTGGGGCTCTCGTATTAGCGCCGCGAGCAGTCGTCCCATGTTTTGCAACATTGCTAGGGTTGGACACGAATCGGTTTCAAATGGGGTTATCGCCCCAGCGACGCACGCATGTGTTTTCAACGCAACGGTTAGCAAGATGAGAAACTGCCCTTGCCCAGCACTCAACCACCGCGTGAAACTTCGGGAAGCTTTGAGACCCGGCAAGTCAACGCCCGTAGCGCTTCACGGATCCATGGCAGCCTCGTTTCAGATGGCGGGCTCTGGAAGCCCGGAACCCCAAAAAGGTCGTCATTTCTCTCGGATGTTTTGAAATCAAATCCACATGCCCACGGACGGCATGTCAACACAGCAGGGCTGCGCCGCAGCGTGAGACGGATGAGCGGAATGCGGCTGCCAACTCGCACACGACAGCGCGCAGAGTATTCAAATTAGCCTGGAGGGTCGACCTTTGCTTGGACGATCGACCTTCGCCCGGAACACCGACCGTGGCTTCCGCTGGCTTCTGCCGGTCTTGCGCCGCCCTCCGCCGGCAGCCCCCATCGTTCTACCTCCGCCGCCCTCGGCCGACCTTCCAGCGTCCGACAAAACCCGGTTCTCGACCATAGATCCGTCCACCTCCCTCCCTCCTTCCCCCCCCTCCTCCCTCCCCCTCCCCCCCCCTCCCCCTCTGGGGGAGAGTGGGAGGAGGGAGAGGGGGAGAAGCGGAAGGAAGGAGCAGGAGAAGCAGGAGACGTGAGCTGAGGCTGGGGGTGACGAGGGGGAAGCCGAGGAGGCGGTGGAGCCCCTGCCAGCCCCTTCCTGCCGCCAGCTGCGCGGCGAGAGCCCCGCCCGCGCGCGGCGCGAGCGCGGGGCCCTCGGCGCTCCCACCGCGCGCCAGGGCGTCCCTTGCTTCTCCTCCCCCCTCCTCCTCCGCCCTCGCCAAAGACACCCCCCTCCTCCCCCCCTGCCGCAGCTCGTCCTCCCCTCCTCCTCCTCTCCCCTCCTCCTCTCCTTCCTCCCTCCCTCCCTCCCTCCCTCCCTCCCTCCCTCCCTCCCTCCTCCCTCCCCCACTCCCTCCCCTCCCTCCCTCCCTCCCTCCCTCCCTAATCCTCCCTCCTCTCCATCCCCTCCTCCCTCCTCCTCCTCCTCCCTCCTCCTCCTCCTCTCCTCCTCCTCCTACCTCCTCCTCCTCCTCCTCCTCCTCCCTCCTCCTCCTCCTCCTCCTCCTCCTCCTCCTCCTCCTCCTCTCTCCTCTCCTCCTCTCCTCCTCCTCCTCTCCTACCTCCTCCTCCTCCTCCTCCTCCTCCTCTCCTCCTCCTCTCCTCCTCCTCCTTCCTCCTCCTTTTCCTCCCTCCTCCTTCTCCTCCTCCTCCTCCTCCCTCCTCTCCTCCTCATCCTCCTCCCTCCTCCTCCTCCTCCTCCTTCCTTCCTTCCTCCTCCCCCGCGGTGGGCCTCTAGCGCGGCGCAGCGACCTGCTGCTCCCCGGGGCCTCCAATGGGTGGCGCGGCTGCCACTTCCGCCACCGGGGCCCGCCCGTGCACGGGCTCGCTCGCGCTGTCTGCGCGCGGCTCCGTCCACCGCGGATGGCGCTCTGGCGCCCCTCCCACGTTCCGCCAGGCCCGAACACCCACTCGTCCAGCGTCATCGGGACCTCGGCGGCTCTCGCCCTGCCGCGCCCGAATCTGTTCGCCAGCCAATTCTCGTGGCGGGATTCGGCGCTTTCCGCACTGTAGCTGGTGGCGTTGGGCTTCACCTTCGCCACCTCCTTTCTCGGCTGTCGTACCTTCCCTCACGCTTTGTTCAGGGGTCCAGCGCCGCGGGTGGTGGCGGCTGCGGGCTTCGGCGCACCCAGCAGCCACGCGTCGGCGACGGCCCGCCGCGCGGCCCACATCGCCTTGCTTCTCTTCTGGGCTGGTCGCCCTCACGCCTGGCGGCCCCTGCCCCCTCTCGCATGCCCTGATCCCAGCGCTGTAGCTGATGCTGTCGAGCTCTATCTTCGCATCCCACTTCTCGCTCTGCTCGCTGGGCTCAGGCTCCGCCTTCCCCTTCTCGCACGCCCTGATCTCAGCGCTGCAGCTGATGGGGTCGGGTTTATCTTCGCCTCCCACTTCCCGCACGCGCTGCTCCCAGTGCTGTGGCTAGCGGTATCGGGCCCCAGCTTCGCCTCTTCCCTCTGGCGTGCCCTGATCCAGCGCTGTAGCTGATGCTGTCGGGCTCTATATCCGCCTTCCCCGTCTCGCACTTCCCGCTGGGCCCAGGCTTCGCCGATCCCTCCTCGCACGCCGGCCTGGTCCCAGCGCTGCAGCTGATGGTGTCGGGCTCTATATCTTCGCCCTCCACTTCTCGCACGCACTGCTCCCAGTGCCGTGGCTAGCGGTGTCGGGATCCAGCTTCGCCTTTCCCTCGTCGCACTCCCTGACCTCAGCGCTGTAGCTGTTGATGTGGGGCTCTAGATTCGTGTTCCTCATCTCGCGCTGCTCGCTTTGCTCAGGCTTCGCCTCCTCGTTCTCGCACGCCGTGGTCCCAGCGCTGTGGCTGATGGAGTCGGGCTCTATCTTCGGCGTCGACTCCTCGCGCGCGCTGATCCCAGCGCTGTAGCTGTAGATGTTGAGCTCGATCTTCGTCTTCCACTTTCCGCACTTTTCGCTGGGCTCTAGCTTCGCCTTCCCCTGCCCGCACGCCCTGGTCCCAGCGCCGTAGCTGCTGGTGTCGGGCTCTATCTTCGCCTTCCACTTCTCACACGCGTTGTTTCCAGTGCTGTGGCTAGCGTTGCCGGGCTCCAGGTTCGCCTTCCCCTGCTCGCACTCCCTGATCCCAGCGCTGTAGCTGTTGATGTCGGGCTCTATCTTCGCCTTCCACATCTCGCGCCGCTCGCTGGGCTCAAGCTTTGCCTTCTTGTTCTCGCACGCCCTGGCCCCAACGCTGCAGCTGATAGAGTCGGGCTTTGCCTTCGCCTTCTGCTTCTCGCACGTGCTGCTCTCAGCGCTGTGGCTCGCGATGTCGGGCGCTAGCCTCGCCTCCCCCTTTTTCGCAGGCCCTGGCGCTGATTCCAGTGCCGTAGCGGATGGTGTCGGGCTCTACCTTTCCCTCCCCCTGCACGCACACCCACGGCTCCGTCCACCGGGCCTCCCACCACGGCTGCATGTGCGCGCATGGGTCCCAAGCGGCGTGCCGTCCCGCCACGAGGCGCATTCTCCTTAGCGTGCGCCTCCTGTCCCGGCTGGCCGGGCCCACACCAGGGTACCGATCCTCGCAGCAGGGGGCACACTCCAGTCGACCATGGCCATGACGCCGCCGCGCCTGGATCTTCTGCACATGGGCCAAGGAAATAGAACTCTACACACACAGAACGTCTATGATAGGATGAAGACCGAGATGAACTCAGTCTTGACGCAGATGGAGAAGGTCACAAACATGTATACCTCCTTGAGGATCCCATGAAGATGTAGACCTCGAAGCACCAGGGCTCCGCAAAGATACCGTCCAAGTCAAAATGGCTATAAGTCCTTGTCATGCACCGCCGGGCACTGGTGGCCAAAGACGAACACCCGGCGGGCATGTAGCCGCCAATGGACATGCAGGAGAAGAACTCCGCCAAGAAAAAGATCAGAGCGATGTCGGCCGTGAGACAGATGCGAACTCAGCGATCAGCGGCTTATTGAAGACGCAACGCCGTTGGCAACGCCCCAGGGCGCCAACGAAGTAGAGGTGCGTGCTTAGGCCTCTGACTCCACGCTGAAAGCGCCAACCGGGGAAGGGATTACCCACCCATCCCGCGGGCGTCGGCACGATCCCATGGCACGAGTACTTTCTGGCAGCTGGGATGAAACATAGAAAGTGGCCAGTAGACGAGAACGGCGGTACAGAGATGTCGAAGAGATTGCTCATTCAGGCGAAGATCGTTAACGCCTACGCACCCCCATTTGGGCATCATGATCAAGGTCATAGGTAATGCGATGTGTGCGTGAGTGCCCTCGACGGGCCAGCCATACGTGATGACCTGGTTCATGTAGCCCTCCGTGGACTACTTGTCAAAAGGTAGTTGCCCCCAGTCAGGAGCACAAAGAAAATATTCGTGACAACTCTCATTGCCTCGCGGATGCGAGGCCCACCCACACGGGTTCGATACCGAGGACGTAGTTGTCGTAGTGGTCGACGCCGCTGCGCCCAGGGCGCTGGGGGCGGAGCTCTCGGGCGGCTATGCCCGTTCGAGCCGCCCCTGAAGGAGGCGGAGGATGATGATGAGGAGGGAGGAGGAGACGGAGGAGGAGAAGGAGGAGGAGGAGGAGGAGGAGGAGGATCCAGGAGGATCGAGGAGGAGCAGGGAGGAAAATGCGTCGCCCCCCCTCCCCCGACCGCCCGTGGGGCTCGGCCCCCCGCCTGGGCGGTGGGCGGCTTGCCGCTCACGGCGCAGTCGCCGATCGCGAACACCTCGGGGGGGGCGCGCCCACGCCCGCGGTCGGGGGGGCGGCGAGGGCCTCCCGAGGCCTCCACGGGGCCAAGGCCCGAGGCTCGAGCTTCGCTACAAGGGCTTTAGCGACCTCGGCCGTCCCTCGGCTCGCGCTGCAGCGGCCACGGCTTGCTGCAAGTGTGCCTGGAGATCTCTGGGTTTACCTGGATTGTCCTGGACCTGCCTACGTAGAAATATGTCTGCGTTTACCTTCATTTGGCCGGCTTGATCCCCAACGCTGATTCGCGAAAAATCGTCAAGCCCTGTGGGAGAGGAGGTGCGGGGGGGAAGGAAGGAAGGAAGGGGAAAAGGTAGGAGGCAGGCGGCAAGAGGAGGTAGAAGGACTCCTCCTCCCTCCTGTTCCTCCTCCTCCTCCTGCTCCTCCTCCTCCTCCTGTTCCTCCTCCCCCTCCTCCTCCTCCTCCTCCTCCTCCTCCTCCTCCTCCGTCTCATCCTCCTCCATACTTTCTCTTGGAAAACAGCTCCTCTCTGTCGTACCCCCAAACGTGTCGGTAGGGCGGGTAGGGCGTTTCGCCTGGCGGTTCCTGACCCATCATGATCCTGAAGCTTGAATGTTAGCAGCATCTTCAGGGATGGAGGAAAGGGGTCGAAAGGTAGTTCTCTCCTCAGCGCCGCGCACGCTCGCCTCCAAACTTTGCCAAACGTCCTCACGGATGGAGGGGGTGGGTTCAAAATGTTGTTTTCCCCTCAGCGCCGCGCACTTCCGTCTTAAGCGATTGCAACACTCGCTATCGTTCAGACGTCCATTCCCCGTGCATTGTTCAGGTTTCGTGCGCGCTTCGTTTCTCGGAGGATGACCCAGACCACCACACCACCACTGAGCCGAGCGTCCGGAGGGACGCGTGGGCAGAGGAGCGCGCGATTGGCAACTCTCCAGAAAAATACGACTGAAAAGACATTACAGAGCGGCTGCGTGCACGCACAAACTCGACTGTGAAGCAGAAGCGAAATGCCTCATGAGTGCGACGCGGAACAACCGAGCGCATCACGACTGTGACGCAGAAAAAACAAAGCGCATCACGACATTGGAATACAGAGCGGATGGAGAGGAGGAAACGGGGGGGCGGAGGGGATCCCGAATTCATGATTGCATTGTACAAAGCAACTTGCCCGGCCAACCAAATATTCGACAGAGGTTGAGCGGATGCTTTTTGAAACACAACTGCATTGCTAGCCTGTGAAAAGAAGGACGGACGAATTCCCAGCAAACGACGTAAGCAATTGCAGCGGAAGGCGTCTAAACGCGCACGGTCTGCCTTCAGAAGCCAAACGGGATCTAAAGAGTACAAGAACATGTTCAGGACACAAATGTCATAAATATTGTGTTTTCGTTTCTTCCCAACTGAAGTCCGGCTCCATATCCGATGCATGTGCTTGAAGATACGGCTCGTTTCCCTAAGTCGCCTGCTTAGATCAGTTGCCACTTCCCCATCGCACGAAACAAAAGAGCCCAGATACATAGCGTCCCTCACTGCCTTTATGTGCTCACCACTTCGTGATGTGATTGCCCCGTCTGTGGAAATGCGCATGTGGACGGTCTTTTCCCAATTAAGTTCCAGGCCATACTTCCGACCTTCCCCCACTACTGCTGCCAGCAATTGCCGCAGGTTGGAACAATGATGAGACGCCAACAATGTATCATCAGCGTACATAGTATCACGTGTAATAAAAAATCAGGCTCTGGGAGTAGATCGAGAGTTCCATGCACATCATGCAACATTACAGTTTGTACAATGATGAACAAGTACGGCGAGAGCGGGCAGCCCTGGGCGATTCCGGCGCGTCGTCGTCGTCCAGGCAAGCGGCCTGCACAATCTTCGATTGTGAAAAATCTTGCGGGGTAGATCGAGCGCACGATTTCCACCATGCCACTTGGCAGGCCGATGCGTTCGAGGGCATCACACATAGAGTCTAGTTTTGTAATATCGAAGGCTTTCTCCAAATTCAACAACAAAAGTGAAATCAAACCACCATTGACGCGCAAGTGGGCCGCATCGATCATCCGGCGCGTTCGCGCGAGCGCGTCGCCTGCGCCGCGGCGCGGCCGGAACCCAAATTGCGAGTCTCTTATTCGTGTTTCTGCGCCTCCTTGAACCAGACGGTTTGCGCGGCATTGATGCCGGTACCTTGTGCCCAACGGGCAAGACAGTTCTCTGGCAAAGCGGCGTTGCCCTTTTTGAAAAGCAGTGCAACGTTTGCTATCTCTTCCTAGATTCAGGGATTGCTTTTTGCACCCAGCATTGTTGACAAATGTTGAAGACCACGTCGCTGGCCGCTACGTCGGATGCCAAAACCTTCCAAACATCGAGGGGGATGTCGTAGGGTCCAGCTGCCTTGCCCTCCTTCAGCTTGCGGATCACGTTCTGAATCTCGCTCAAGGTGAATGACTCATGTCGGTTGGAAGTTTGTCGCCACATTGCGCTTGGTTGTCTGGGCGGCAATCGGAAAACTTGCAATCCCATTGCGCTAATTCGAAATAATGTGCCAAGACATCCGGTCTTTCAGAAGTGTCTGATACAGTGCCATCTGGGCGCCGTGCGCTTGCGCGCTGCACTCTTGACGGACCCCGCAACTCACTGCGCCCCAGCCACCACCCGCCGCAAGATGATTTAGCCATGTCTTCCGGTCTGGATTCCCAGATTTCCGTTTCTCTTTGCGTAGTCGTCGCTCTCTGCCATGGTCTCCGCGCTGTCGGTAAAGCGACCGCTCCTGAATCAAATCCAATGTTCTTTGGCTGGTCCAGGGCCGTCTGGCTCGAATATCTCCGGCCGGCAGCGCGGCGGCAGCACAGGAGACAGCATGCTGCAAATTCTCTGCTGCGGTGCCCGAGTCCACTGTATAAGGCTTTCCCATCGCGGTTTCAATGACGTCTCCGATGAAATTCGCCCGATTGTCGGAGTAGCGCTGGCGTTGACGAGGCCCCCGTTGCCTCTCGAACTCGATGCTGATCGTTGCCGCTGTCAGAAAATGACGGATGTTCAAGGACACCCCCCGCGCAGCCCAACAATCCTGAATCGTGGCCAACATGCTGCGGCGGCACAGTACATGATCGATCTGCGAAAACCTTGCAATAGAGATGTCGGGGTGCACGGGGCTGATCCCAATGATCCGGCATGCGATCCCCGCGCAGCCTGGGCGATCGAAAAACGCATATGCTACAACCAAGTCGCACGAACTACACGTTTCAATCAGAAACTGCATGTCTGATATCGCGTGCCCCTGATTTCCGGCAGGGTCGCTAGTAACACCCCTAGGTTCAGCATTGAACGCGCGCTGCCCGATAGCATTGTCCCCCCCAAGTCCCAGTCGCAGAAGCTGCGCGTTGAAGTCGCCGAGGGTAAATGTGGCACTGTGCGCGGTTGTAGCTCGGATTGTACATTTCAGCTTCGCGTGAAAATCTCGCCGCGCTTCGTGCTCGAGCCCCGGGCGCGGCGCGCATGCACTGATGAGTGTTAGCACCCCTCCGGAGATCTTGACGCGCAGCGCGGCGACCCGGTCGCCGCGCGCTTTGAGAGCGATCGCAGAGTTCACCACTGAAGGTCCCACCAAGAAACCGACCCCAGAGCACGCGCGGTTTTGCGCATCAAAACTGCCAGAAAAGAACAACTTATAATCCCACCAGCCCTCTGGGCTTAGGTGGTGTAACGCGTTGTTTCTCTCTCCCACTGCCCCCCCCCCCCCCCCCGCCCCACCCCGGGCCGGGAAGGGGGGGGGGGGGGGGGGGGGGCGAGGCGTTTAGAGCGTCCAAGATGGCCCAAGATTGATCCAAGAGGGCTTCGAAGTCGCAATATGGCCTCCAAGATGGCCCATGCCGCATCAAGATGGGTCAAGATAGCCTCCGACATACCCCCAAGAGGCCCAAAGAGAGCCCCAAGACGGATCCAAGTGCCCTTCGAGCCCTCCACGGCGCCCTCCAAGATGCCAAAACCGTTCAGAAGCCCACGGTGAATCAATGTTTTTGGCGCGATCGCCTTTTCGCTTGCGATGGGCTGGGGCAGCCTCCAGACGGCCCCAAGGTGGCCCAGGAGAGGCCCAGGAGGGGCCCAAGAAGGCCGAAGACGGCCCCAAGATCGCCCAAGAGGCGCCAAGAGCGCTCCAAAGGCCCAAGATGTCGTTTGAGAGCCTCCGAGGAGGGGGGGGGGGGGGGGGGGATTCCCCCCCCCCCCCCCACCCCCCCCACCCCCCACCTCCCTCTTCTTGAGCCGTGGTGCCCAAGATGGCCCCAAGAGGCATCCCAGCCCCTCCCAAAGACCCCCCACCCCTCCCTTCCTGGCCCAAGATGGCTCCAAGAGAGCCCCAGATCGCCCAAGACGGCCTTCAAAATGGCCTAAGATAGCCAAGCATGGCTCAAGAGAGCCTCCGACAGCCCTCCAAGAGGCCTCAAGGAAGCCTCAAGATGGCCCAGGATAGCCGAGCATGGCTCAGGATAGCCTCCGACAGCCTCTAGCCGAGCATGGCTCAAGATAGCCTCCAAGAGGCCTCGAGAAAACTGGCAATCAATTATGGGTGGCGGGGATGCTTGTTTGGTCGCGGCCACCAGCGAAGAGCGCAGGCGGCGAACAGGGTGTCCGGGCCGACGGGCAAACCCAATTAGCTACTGAGCGCAGCACGAGCCGGCCGTGCCAGCTCGCAAACGCGGCAGCGGGGGCAGCGGCTGCGGGGGGCTGGCTGGCTGAACTGGAACACCCAGGGAAGCTCGAGCAAAGTGCAGCCCTGCGGCAAAATGCGAGGGAATTCTGTGTTGCGCGCTGTGGCGTCCAGACGCGGCAAGCGATGGGCCGTCGCCAGCGGGGCGTCCAGCCCAAACCGCGCCAACGGCGCGTGCGCGCCATCTGTGCTGCGCCGCCGAAAAACGTCGAATACCAAGCCGGGCGCGAGGCGGGCCCGGAGGGCGGCCGAGGCTGCGAAGGCTGAACTGGGCTGACCTCCAGGGGCCGTCAGCCCGCGCGACATGAGTAGCC